AGCTAGGCCCTTGCTCTTGCAATGTTGCACACGCTAGGCCCTTTTTCTTGCAATTTTGCATACGCTAGGCCCTTGTTCTTGATATTTTGCACACGCTAGGCACTTGTTCTTGCTATTTTGCACACGCTTGGCCCTTGTTCTTACAATTTTGCATACGCTAGGCCCTTCTTCTTGCTATTTCGCACAAGCTAGGCCCTTGCTCTTGCAATTTTGCACACGCTAGGCCCTTGTTCTTGCAATTTTGCACGCGCTAGGTACTTGTTCTTGCAATTTTGCATACGCTAGGCCCTTGTTCTTGCAAATTTGCACTCGCTATGCACTTGTTCGTGCTATTTTGCACACGCTAGTCCCTTGTTCTTGCCATTTTGCACACGTTAGGCCCTTGTTCTTGCAATTTTGCACATGCTAGACCCTTGTTCTTGCTATTTTGCACTCGCTAGGCCCTTGTTCTTGCAATTTTGCACACGCTAGGCCCTTGTTCTTGCAAGTTTGCACACGCTAGGCCCTTGTTTTTGCATTTTTGCACTCGCTATGCCCTTGTTCTTGCAATTTTGCAAACACTAGGCCCTCGTTCTTCCACTTTTGCACACGCTAGACCCTTTTTCTTGCAAGTTTGCACACGGTGGGCCCATTTTCCTGCAATTTTTCACTCGCTAGGCCCTTGTTCTTGCTAGTTTGCACACGATAGACACTTGTTCTTGCAAATTTCCACTCGCTAGGCCCTTGTTCTTGCACTTTTGCACTCTCTAGGCCCTTGTTCTTTCAATTTTGCACACGCTAGGCCCTTGTTGTTGCAATTTTGGCACACGCTAGGCCCTTGTTCTTACAATTTTGCATACGCTAGGCCCTTCTTCTTGCTATTTCGCACAAGCTAGGCCCTTGCTCTTGCAATTTTGCACACGCTAGGCCCTTGTTCTTGCAATTTTGCACGCGCTAGGTACTTGTTCTTGCAATTTTGCATACGCTAGGCCCTTGTTCTTGCAAATTTGCACTCGCTATGCACTTGTTCGTGCTATTTTGCACACGCTAGTCCCTTGTTCTTGCCATTTTGCACACGTTAGGCCCTTGTTCTTGCAATTTTGCACATGCTAGACCCTTGTTCCTGCTATTTTGCACTCGCTAGGCCCTTGTTCTTGCAATTTTGCACACGCTAGGCCCTTGTTCTTGCAAGTTTGCACACGCTAGGCCCTTGTTTTTGCATTTTGGCACTCGCTATGCCCTTGTTCTTGCAATTTTGCAAACACTAGGCCCTCGTTCTTCCAATTTTGCACACGCTATACCCTTGTTCTTGCAAGTTTGCACACGGTGGGCCCATTTTCCTGCAATTTTTCACTCGCTAGGCCCTTGTTCTTGCTAGTTTGCACACGATAGGCCCTTGTTCTTGCAAATTTCCACTCGCTAGGCCCTTGTTCTTGCACTTTTGCACTCTCTAGGCCCTTGTTCTTTCAATTTTGCACACGCTAGGCCCTTGTTGTTGCAATTTTGGCACACGCTAGGCCCTTGTTCTTGCAATTTTGCACACGCTAGGCCCTTCTTCTTGAAATTTTACACACGCAAGGCCCTTGTTCTTGTAATTTTGCACACGCTAGGCCCTTGTTCTTGCTATTTTGCACACGCTAGGCCCTTGTTTTTGCATATTTGCACACGCTAGGCCCTTGTTCTTGCTATTTTGCACACGCTAGGCCCTTGTTCTTGCAATTTTACACACGCTAGGCCCTTGTTCTTGCAATTTTGCACACGCTAGGCCCTTGTTCTTGCACTTTTGCACACGCTAGGCCCTTGTTATTGCTATTTTGCACATACTAGGCCCTTGTTTTTGCTATTTTGCACACGCTAGGCCCTTGTTCTTGCAATTTTGCACATGCTAGGCCCTATTTCTTGTTATTTTGCACACGCTTGGCCTTTGTTCTTGCAATTTTGCATAAGCTAGGCCCTTCTTCTTGCTATTTTGCACAAGCTAGGCCCTTGCTCTTGCAATTTTGCACACGCTAGGCCCTTGTTCTTGCAATTTTGCATACGCTAGGCCCTTGTTCTTGCTATTTTGCACATGCTAGGCCCTTGTTCTTGCTACTTTGCACACGCTTGGCCCTTGTTCTTGTAATTTTGCATACGCTAGGCCCTTCTTCTTGCTATTTTGCACAAGCTAGGCCCTTTCTCTTGCAATTTTGCACACACTAGGCCGTTGTTCTTGCAATTTTGCACACGCTAGGCTCTTGTTCTTGCAATTTTGCATACGCTAGGCCCTTGTTCTTGCTATTTTGCACACGGTACGCCCTTGTTCTTGCTATTTTGCACACGCTAGGCCCTTTTTCTTGCTATTTTGCACACGCTTGGCCCTTGTTCTTGCAATTTTGCATACACTAGGCCCTTCTTCTTGCAATTTTGCACAAGCTAGGCCCTTGCTCTTGCAATTTTGCACACGCTAGGCCCTTTTTCTTGCAATTTTGCATACGCTAGGCCCTTGTTCTTGCTATTTTGCACACGCTAGGCCGTTGTTCTTGCTATTTTGCACACGCTTGGCCCTTGTTCTCACAATTTTGCATACGCTAGGCCCTTCTTCTTGCTATTTCGCACAAGCTAGGCCCTTGCTCTTGCAATTTAGCACATGCTAGGCCGTTGTTCTTGCAATTTTGCACACGCTAGGCCCTTGTTCTTGCAATTTTGCATACGCTAGGCCCTTGTTCTTGCTATTTTGCACACGCTAGGCCCTTCTTCTTGCTATTTTGCACACGCTAGGCCCTTGTTCTTGCAAGTTTGCACACGCTAGGCCCTTTTTCTTTCGATTTTGCTCATGCTAGGCCCTTGTTCTTGCAAGTTTGCACATGCTAGGCCCTTTTTCTTGCTATTTTGCACACGGTAGGCCCTTGTTCTTGCAATTTTGCACTGGCTATGCCCTTGTTCTTGCTATTTTGCACACGCTAGGCCCTTTTTCTTGCAATTTTGCACATGCTAGGCCCTAAATCTTGCTATTTTGCACATGCTTGGCCCTTGTTCTTGCAATTTTGCATACGCTAGGCCCTTCTTCTTGCTATTTTGCACAAGCTAGGCCCTTGCTCTCGCAATTTTGCACACGCTAGGCCCTTGTTCTTGCAATTTTGCATACGCTGAGCCCTTGTTCTTGCTATTTTGCACATGCTAGGCCCTTGTTCTTGCTACTTTGCACACGCTTGGCCCTTGTTCTTGCAATTTTGCATATGCTAGGCCCTTCTTCTTGCTATTTTGCACAAGCTAGGCCCTTTCTCTTGCAATTTTGCACACGCTAGGCCGTTGTTCTTGCAATTTTGCACACGCTAGGCTCTTGTTCTTGCAATTTTGCATACGCTAGGCCCTTGTTCTTACTATTTTGCACACGCTAGGCCCTTGTTCTTGCTATTTTGCACACGCTAGGCCCTTTTTCTTGCTATTTTGCACACGCTTGGCCCTTGTTCTTGCAATTTTGCATACGCTAGGCCCTTCTTCTTGCAATTTTGCACAAGCTAGGCCCTTGCTCTTGCAATTTTGCACACGCTAGGCCCTTTTTCTTGCAATTTTGCATACGCTAGACCCTTGTTCTTGATATTTTGAACACGCTAGGCCCTTGTTCTTGCTATTTTGCACACGCTTGGCCCTTGTTCTTACAATTTTGCATACGCTAGGCCCTTCTTCTTGCTATTTCGTAAAAGCTAGGCCCTTGCTCTTGCAATTTTGCACACGCTAGGCCGTTGTTCTTGCAATTTTGCACACGGTAGGCCCTTGTTCTTGCAATTTTGCATACGCTAGGCCCTTGTTCTTGCTATTTTGCACACGCTAGGCCCTTGTTCTTGCTATTTTTCACACGCTAGGCCCTTTCTTACTGCTCTTTTGCATATGCTAGGCCCTTGTTTTTGCTATTTTGAACACGCTTGGCCCTTGTTCTTACAATTTTGCATACGCTAGGCCCTTCTTCTTGCTATTTCGCACAAGCTAGGCCCTTGCTCTTGCAATTTTGCACACGCTAGGCCGTTGTTCTTGCAATTTTGCACACGCTAGGCCCTTGTTCTTGCAATTTTGCATACGCTAGGCCCTTGTTCTTGCTATTTTTCACACGCTAGGCCCTTGTTCTTGCTATTTTTCACACGCTAGGCCCTTGTTCTTGCTATTTTTCACACGCTAGGCCCTTTCTTATTGCTCTTTTGCACATGTTAGGCCCTTGTTCTTGCTATTTTGCACACGCTTGGCCCATGTTCTTACAATTGTGCATACGCTAGGCCCTTCTTCTTGCTATTTCGCACAAGCTAGGCCCTTGCTCTTGCAATTTTGCACACGCTAGGCCGTTGTTCTTGCAATTTTGCACACGCTAGGCCCTTGTTCTTGCAATTTTGCATACGCTAGGCCCTTGTTCTTGCTATTTTGCACACGCTAGGCCCTTGTTCTTGCTATTTTTCACACGCTAGGCCCTTTTTTATTGCTCTTTTGCACATGCTAGGCCCTTGTTCTTGCTATTTTGCACACGCTTGGCCCTTGTTCTTGCTATTTTGCAGACGCTAGGCCCTTGTTCTTGTTATTTTGCACACGCTATGGCCTTGTTCTTGCTATTTTGCACACGCTAGGCCCTATTTCTTGCTATTTTGCACACGCTAGGCCCTTGTTATTGCAATTTTGCACACGCAAAGCCCTTGTTTCTGAAATTTTGCACTCGCTAGGCCCTTGTTCTTGCTATTTTGCACACGCTAGGCCCTGGTTCTTGCTATTTTGCACACGCTAGGCCCTTCTTATTGCTATTTTGCACATGGTAGGCCTTTGTTCTTGCTATTTTGCACACGCTAAGCCATTGTTCTTGCAATTTTGTACACGCTAGGCCCTTGTTCTTGCAATTTTGCACTCCCTAGACCCTTGTTCTTGCAATTTTGCACATGCGAGGCCCTTGTTCTTGCAATTTTGCACACGCTAGGCCCTTGTTCTTGCTATTTTGCACACGCAAAGCCCTTGTTCTTGAAAGTTTGCACACGCTAGGTCCTTGCTCTTGCAATTTTGCACTCGCTATGCCCTTGTTCTTGCAATTTTGCACACGATAGGACCTTGTTCTTGCACTTTTGCACACGCTAGACCCTTGTTCTTGCAAGTTTGCACACGCTAGGCCCTTTTTCTTGCAATTTTTCACTCGCTAGGCCCTTGTTCTTGCTATTTTGCATTCGCTTGGCCCTTGTTCTTTCAATTTTGCACATGCTAGGCCCTTGTTCGTGGTGGACGTGGACGTGGACGTGGACTTGGACGTGGAGGACTTGGACGTGGATATGGACGTGGACGTGGACATGGACGTGGACGTGGACGTGGTCGTGGACGTGGACGTGGACGTGGACGTGGACATGGACGTGGACGTGGACATGGACGTGGACGTGGACGTGGACGTGGACGTGGAGATGGACATGGACGTGGACGTGGACGTGGATGTGGACGTGGACATGGACGTGGACGTGGACATGGACATGGACGTGGAGGTGGACGTGGACGTGGACATGGACGTGGACGTGGACGTGGATATGGACGTGGACGTGGACGAGGACGTGGTCGTGGACGAGGATGTGGACGTAGACGTAGACGTGGACGTGGACGTAGACGTGGACGTGGACGTGGACATGAACGTGAACGTGGACGTGGACTTGGACCTGGACCTGGACGTGGACGTGGACGTGGTCGTGGACGTGGACGTGGAGGTGGACGTGGGCGTGGACATGGACGTAGACGTGGACATGGAGGACTTGGACGTGGAGGACTTGGACGTGGACTTGGACGTGGACGAGGACGTGGACGTGGACGTGGACATGGACGTGGATGTGGACGTGGACGTGGACGTGGACGTGGAGGTGGACGTGGACGTGGACGTGGACGTGGACGTGGACATGGACGTGGACGTGGACATGGACGTGGACGTGGACATGGACATGGACATGGACGTGGACGTGGACGTGGACGTGGACATGGACGTGGACGTGGACGTGGACGTTGACGTGGACGTGGACTTGGACGTGGACGTGGACGTGGACGTGGAGGTGGACATGGACGTGGACGTGGACGTGGACGTGAACGTGGACGTGGACGTGGACATGGACGTCGACGTGGACGTCGACGTGGACGTGGACGTGGACGTGGACGTGGACATGGACGTGGACGTGGACGTGGACGTGGACGTGGACGTGGTCGTGGACGTGGACGTGGACGAGGTCATGGACGTGGACGTGGACGTGGACGTGGACGAAGACGTGGACGTGGACGTGGACGTGGACGTAGACGTGGACGTGGACGTGGACGTGGACGTGGACGTGGACGTGGACGTGGACGTGGACGTGGACGTGGACATGGACGTGGACGTGGACAAGGACGTGGACGTGGATGTGGACATGGACGTGGACGTGGACATGGATGTGGACGTGGACGTGGAGGACTTGGACGTGGAGGACTTGGACGTGGACTTGGACGTAGACGTAGACGTGGACGTGGAGGTGGACGTGGACGTGGACGTGGACTTGGACGTGGAGGACTTGGACGTGGACGTGGACATGGACGTGGACATGGACGTGGACGTGGACGTGGACGTGGTCGTGGATGTGGACGTGGACGTGGACGTGGACGTGGACGTGGAGATGGATGTGGACATGGACGTGGACTTGGACGTGGACTTGGACGTGGACGTGGACGTGGACATGGACGTGGACGTGGACGTGAACGTGGACGTGGACATGGACATGGTCGTGGACGTGGACGTGGACGTGGACGTGGACATGGACGTGGACGTGGACGTGGACGTGGACATGGACGTGGACGTGGACGTGGACGTGGACGTGGACGTGGACGTGGACATGGACGTGGAGATGGACATGGAGGTGGACATGGACGTGGACTTGGACGTGGACTTGGACGTGGACATGGACGTGGACATGGACGTGGACGTGGACGTGGACGTGGACGTGGACGTGGACGTGGACGTGGTCGTGGACATGGACATGGACGTGGACGTGGACATGGACGTGGACGTGGACGTGGACGTGGACGTGGACGTGGACGTGGACGTGGACATGGACGTGGAGGTGGAGGTGGATGTGGACGTGGAGGTGGACAGGGACGTGGACTTGGACGTGGACATGGACGTGGACATGGACGTGGACGTGGACGTGGACTTGGACGTGGACGTGGACGTGGACATGGAAGTGGACGTGGACGTGGACATGGATGTCGACGTGGACGTGGACGTGGACGTGGACGTGGACGTGGACGTGGTCGTGGACATGGACGTGGACGTGGACGTGGACGTGGACATGGACGTGGACGTGGACGTGGACATGGACGTGGACGTGGACGTGGACGTGGAGGTGGACGTGGACGTGGACATGGACGTGGACGTGGACGTGGACGTGGACGTGGACGTGGACATGGACGTGGACGTGGACGAGGTCGTGGACGTGGACGTAGAGGTGGACGTGGACATGGAGGTGGACGTGGAGGTGGACGTGGACGTGGACGTGGACGTGGACATGGACGTGGACGTGGACGTGGACGTGGACGTGGACGTGGACATGGACGTGGACGTGGACATGGACGTGGACGTGGACGTGGACTTGGACGTGGACGTGGACGTGGACATGGACGTGGACGTGGACGTGGACGTCGACGTGGACGTGGACGTGGACCCGGACGTGGACGTGGACATGGACGTGGACGTGGACGAGGTCGTGGACGTGGACGTGGAGGTGGACGTGGACGTGGACGTGGACATGGACGTGGAAGTGGACGTGGACGTGGAGGACTTGGACGTGGACTTGGACGTGGACGTGGACGTGGACGTGGAGGTGGACGTGGACGTGGACGTGGACCTGGACGTGGACGTGGACATGGACGTGGACGTGGACGTGGACGTGAACGTGGACGTGGACGTGATCGTGGACGTGGACGTGGACGTGGACGTGGACGTGGTCGTGGACGTTGACGTGGACGTGGTCGTGGACGTGGACATGGACGTGGACGTGGACGTGGACGTGGTCGTGGACATGGACGTGGAGGTGGAAGTGGACGTGGACGTGGACATGGACGTGGACGTGGATGTGGACGTGGAGGACTTGGAGGTGGACTTGGACGTGGACGTGGACGTGGAGGTGGACGTGGACGTGGAGGTGGACGTGGACGTGGACGTGGACGTGGACATGGACGTGGACGTGGACGTGGACGTGGACGTGAACGTGGACGTGGACGTGGACATGGACGTGGTCGTGGACGTGGACGTGGACGTGGTCGTGGTAGTGGACGTGGACGTGGACATGGACGTGGACGTGGACGTGGACGTGAACGTGGACGTGGACGTGGACGTGGACATGGACGTGGTCGTGGACGTGGACGTGGTCGTGGACGTGGACGTAGATGTGGACATGGACATGGACGTGGACGTGGACGTGGACGTGGACTTGGACGTGGACGTGGACGTGGACATAGACGTGGACGTAGACGTGGACGTAGACGTGGATGTAGACGTGGACGTGGACGTGAACATGGTCGTGGACGTGGACGTGGACGTGGACGTGGACATGGTCGTGGACGTGGATGTGGACCTGGACCTGGACGTGGACATGGACGTGGACGTGGACGTGGACGTGAACGTGGACGTGGATGTGGACGTGGACGTGGAGGTGGACGTGGAAGACTTGGACATGGACAAGGACGTGGACGTGGACGTGGACATGGACGTGGACGTGGAGATGGACGTGGTGGTGGACATGGACGTGGACGTGGACGCGGACATGGTCGTGGACGTGGATATTGACGTGGACGTGGAGGTGGACGTGGACGTGGACGTGGACGTGGACATGGACGTGGACGTGGACGTGGATGTGGACGTGGACGTGAACGTGGACGTGGACGTGGATGTGGTCGTGGACGTGGACGTGGACGTGGACGTGGACGTGGACATGGACGTGGACGTGGACGTGGACGTGGTCGTGGACGTGAACGTGGATGTGGACGTGGACGTGGACGTGGACGTGGAGGACTTGGATGTGGACTTGGACGTGGACGTGGACGTGGACGTGGAGGTGGACGTGGACGTGGACGTGGACGTGGACGTTGACATGGACGTGGATGTGGACGTGGACGTGGATGTGGACGTGAACGTGGACGTGGACGTGGACATGGACGTGGTCGTGGACGTGGACTTGGACGTGGTCGTGGACGTGGACGTGGACGTGGTCGTGGACGTGGACGTGGATGTGGACGTGGACGTGGACGTGGACATGGACGTGGACGTGGACGTGGACGTAGACGTGGACGTGGACGTAGACATGGACGTGGACGTGGACGTAAATGAGAAGAATTGAACGAGAATGAATGACTATGAAGTGAAGTGAATACAAATAGGAAATCCTAATTGTGTTGTACCCCCTATGGGATACCCCACTATAGCCTACAGAAACAAGTAAGCTATATGTTCTGACACACCCCCATAGGCAAAGTGGGGGAGAACAAGGGGTCACAAGACCAGTCAAGCAAAGCAAAGCAAAGCTCAGGGTGGATCACAAAGTCACCACGCATTCCGAGCACAAGTTCAAAGGCCAGAAGGCCAGTTCACATGCAAGATCATATATAGAGATATACAAGAGTCAAGCAAGCAAGAGCAAGAGTATATATAGGCGAAGGTACAAGCAAGGTCAAGAGGAGAGCAAGTGAGGCAAGACAGGCACAAGACCCAACTGCGTGCAACAACGCTGATGATCACAAGGCGCAAGTGCCTTGGTGAAGACATCAGCAGTGTTGGCCTCAGAGACCACGTACGCAAGTCGCAACTGTCCATGCTGCTGTAGCTCACGAGCAAGAAAGTAGCGGAGAGCAATGTGCTTCGTTCTGTGCTCCAGTCGCTGCTCTCGACACAAGGCCAGCATGGCCTTGTTGTCTACGTACAGGACTGGAGGAGAACGAGGCTGCTCTCCAAGGTCGGTCAGCAGGTAGGTGAGCCAGCGTAACTCCTGTGCAGCCATAGCCCCAGCGTAGATCTCAGCCTCACAACTGGAGCCGAGAACAGAAGACGAGCGGGTAGCCCGCCACGAGACAGAGCCGGAACCAAGGCTGAAGGTGTAACCCTGTGACGACCGCAGTGTAGCCTGGTCGTCAGCCCAAGAAGCGTCTGCGTGCCCAGTGAGGACCACTGGACTGCGCCCTCCAAGCACTAGCCCCATGCCCGACGTACTGCACAAGTAGCGCAACACCCTCTTCGCTGCAGCCATGTGCTCTGGTCGGTGTCTCCCAGGAGCAACAAAGCGTGCGAGAATGCTAAGAGGGTATGCGAGGTCAGGTCGTGTGCAGGTCATCAGGTACATGAGGCAGCCAACAAGCTCTGCATACGGGCCACTCGACTCTACGGACTCATCCGAAGGCAGAGCTGAGAGCGAGTGGCGAGTAGGCAGAGGAGTGGCCTGAGGCGAGGAGTACGTGAAGCCGAAGCGCTGAAGGACCTGCTGCACCATGTGTGACTGAGTCAGGGTAATGGTGCGGCGTGCTCTGTCCCGGGTGATCTGCAAGCCAAGGTAGCTGCGCAGTTCACCCAGGTCAGTGCACGTGTGTCTCTTCTGCAGCTCGGACTTCACGTAGGCGAGTCCAGCAGTGTCAGCTGTGGCAAAGACCAAGTCGTCGACGTACACGAGGATGTAGAACGGCGGCAGAGAGGTGTCGGTGCGCAGAAACAGCGACGGGTCGGCAGTAGAAGGAGCAAACCCAAGTGCCGCGAGCGTAGTCCTCAGTGTGTCGTGCCACTCACGTGGCGCCTGGCGGAGACCGTAGACTGGACGCCGGAGACTCCACTGGGTACCAGGAGGGTAAGACCCAGTGAAGCCAGGTGGGCGACGCAGCCAGATCTCCTCGTGCAGGCTGCCCTGCAAGAAAGCTGTGCTGAAGTCGAGAGAGTGCAGCTCGTAGTCACGGTGAGCAGCAACGTGCAGCAGAACCCGAAGAGTGGTCATCTTCGGGGTGGGGGAGAAGGTCTGAAAGTAGTCAACCCCCTGCCGCTGACTGAAGCCACGAGCCACGTAACACGCCTTGAAGACAGGCGGAGAACCCGGCGGCCGCTTCACCCTGAAAATCCACATGCCACTGACGATGTTCGCCCCAGGAGGGGGAACAGCGTCAACGTAGGTGCCTGTGGACTTCCAGGACGCCATCTCTGCATCCATAGCTACCTGCCACTGAGAGAAGTAGGGACCCTCTACGGCCTCCGCGTAAGAGCGCGGAGTCGGGATGTCTGGTGCATCCGGGTCTCCCTCAGGGGCTAGCAGTACAGACGCGAGACGAGGTGAAGCGGCGGCCAGACACTGGAACTCCTCCTGCCTGTCCTCAAGGACGTCCGTGCCAAGGGCACACTCACCCCCAACGGACGGAGGACAGGCGGACTCAGACTCAGTGACAAGACGAGCAGCATAGTCTAGACGACAGCGCGCAGCAAAGTCGACAAGCTCAGTGACAAGGGCAGACGCAGCAGACGACTCGAAAGAAGGGTCAGTGACAGCAGTAGCAAGGAGACGCGTGACAGTAGGACTGGCAGCACGAAGAGAGTCCGACTTCGGGTCGGCAAGAGCAGGAAGAGAGGAAGCAGGAGGAGAAGGCAAAGGGGCACGCAGAGGAGCAGTGGACGGACGCAGGTACATCCGGTGCGTGCCAGGGACAGGAGGAGGACGCTGACGCGACCCGCGACCACTAGCGCGCTCAGTACGAACAGGCGACACAGGACGAGACGCAGGCTCACGACGCTCAGTAAGACCTCCAGTCGGACCAGCGTAGGGAGAAGGAGCAGGCAAAGGGGAGGCAGGCTGGAGCTGTGGCTGTGACCGGACAGGCTGCGGACCCTCTAAGGGAGGAGGAGGAGGTGTAAGACCAAGAACCTGCTGCAGGAGCGGAACGAAGTACGGTCGGGGCCGCGCGGCGACGCAAGAAACAGCAGGAACAGCACCAGCAGCCCCGGCAGGAGCACCCACTCCAGCAGCACCTCCAGCAGCACCACCAGAAGCTCCAGAACCTCCAGCAGCAGCACCAGGAGCAGTGTCAGTCGGACCGCCAACGGCAGGCTCAGCGCCAACACCCTCAGCAGTACCAGCTCCAGGAGAACTCTCAGACCCAGCAGCTCCAGCACCCACAGGACGAGCACCGGCGGGACGCGCGGCAGCAGTACCCTCTGCAGCCGAAGAACCACCAGCACCAGCAGCACGCCTCCAGCGCCTGGCAAACCACTCACGCAGCTCCTGTGGGGAGAGTGGCTCCCGGCGAGACGAAGCACCCCCAGGCACAGCACCCCCAGGCTCAGCACCCCCAGGCCCAGCACCCCTAAGCACAGCACCCCCAGGCACAGCACCCCCAGGCTCGGCACCTCCAGGCTCAGCACCCCCAGGCCCAGCACCCCTAGGCACAGCACCCCCAGGCACAGCACCCCCAGGCTCGGCACCTCCAGGCTCAGCACCCCCAGGCACAGCACCCCCAGGCTCAGCACCCCCAGGCTCAGCACCCCCAGACTCCGCACCCCCAGGCTCAGCTCCCGCAGCAGCACCAGAGTCACCAGTGACCTCGACAGGCTCGACCGCGTCTACCTGGGACACACCTGAAGGGGCAGGACCCTGAGGGGGGAGGGCGACTACCGGGGGGGGACCTGGTACCAAGAAGAGCGGGGGTGGGGGGAGGGACGGAGTGCGGTAGGGGAAGAGGCGGTAGTAGGGTACCGACTCGTCGAACGTGACGTCCTGGGAGGACAGAACACGTCGAGAGGTGGGGTGGTAAAACTGCCACCCAGGAGCGTCGGGGGGGAACCCCAGGAAGACGCAGGGAGAAGCACGAGGGGACAGCTTGTCCGCAGACAGGTCACGAACAAACGCCCGAGATCCCCAGACCCGGAACGCCGACGCATCGCCAACCTTCCCCGTCCACAGCAGCGCTGGGGAGGTCTCCGGTCGAGAGACCCTGGGGTGGAGGTTGATCTGGTGCGCAGCGTACCTGACCGCAAACGGCCACAGAAAATGGGGAGCAGCCGCATGCATCATGGACGTACGAGCGACGTCCATGACCATGCCAATGCGGCGCTCAGCAATCCCATTCTGCTGTGGTGAGTCCGGAAGCGTGAAGGTCTGACGGATGCCTCGCGCACGACAGTAGGCACTCAGGAGGCCAGAGGAGAACTCTCCGCCTCTGTCCGAGTGCAGACGCAAAACAGGGAAGTCAGAGCCAAAGCTCCTCCGAAGCTGGAGACGAGCTGCGCGGATCCAGTCGATCAACACCTCAGTGACCTCACCCTTGCTGCGCAAGGGGAAGAGTGTGGTGTAACGCGAGTAGTCGTCAACCACCAGCAGGAAGTAGCGCTCCTGACCCTGTCCACGGACGCGGGCTGGGCCCCACACGTCCATGTGAAGCGTCTGCAACGGGGCCTCTGTCGGAGGAAACTGGGAGGAGTGAGGGGCAGCACGCTGGCGCCCCTCGACACAGGGGACACAGGTAGGGCCAGGGTCCGGAGGAAGGGGAGGGAGAGACCGGGGAAGACCAGACACAAGGACTCACGAGGCCATGCCTCTGAGCCGAAGCAGAGAGGGGTGGCCAAGGCGATGGTGCCAGAGGAGGGTCTCGTGAGACAGACGACGACACGAGCAGGGGGCAGACTCACGACCAGACCTGGACGCTGCAGCAAACACCTGACCAGACGAGAGGACCCTACCAGACTCTGCACCTGGAGGAGAAGCAGTGGTCAGTGTGTACAGGCTCGACCCTGGCCGACGTGTAAACGTAGCCAGGTGGCGACCTGTATCCGCTTCCGTGCAGTGGGTCACCCGCTGACGAGCAGGGGTGAACTGGTGGACACCCGCATCCTGGAGGTCAGCACCACTCACCAAGTTAGTCGAGAACGAGGGGAGGTAGAGACCAGTCAGGGTGCCAGAGGGGGCCGCCGGACACGGGAGGACAGTGGAGAAGCGAGACAGGACAGGCCCCCCAGAGGGGTCAGCCAGGGACACCGCAACCGGCCGACTCAGCGGCGTGAGAGTGGTGCGGTCCCTAAAGAAGGAGCGAGACGCTCCAGAGTCAAGGGTGAAGGTGTGAGAGGCCGAAGCCGACACAGTACCTGAGAGGGCAGACTCACCAGCACCTGAGAGCACAGACGCACTGGCACCTAGAGCAGCAGCCTCACCAGTACCTGACGCGGCAGTACCAATGCCCGGGTCTGGCGGGAAACACCGGTAACAGTCATCCTCATCACTACCAGTCACAGCATACATAGCAGAGAGAATAGCATCAAAATCAAGATCATAAATAGCTACACCAGCCCTAGACAGCTCTCCCCAGCGGGGGATCTCAGCGGCCTCCGGAAACTGCTGACGCCAGGCGTCGGTCAGGCGGCCAAAGCAGCGGCGGGCTGTGTGGGCGCCTCCACACCTCTCCCCTGCACGGTCACCGGTGCGAAGAACGTAGGGGCAGGGACCAAGCGCACCACCACGCTGACGCTGCAAGTACCATTCACGGAGCTGCTGAGGGCCGGGGACGGTGCGAGAGCGCTGCTGCTGCTGTGGCTGCTGCTGCGGCTGCTGCTGCTGCTGCTGGCGCTGACCACCCCCAGAGCTGCTCCGCTGGGACGAGCCACCCCGACCCCCGCCTCCACCGCCACCCCCGCCTCCACCGCCACCCCCGTCTCCACTGCCACCTCCCCCACCAGAACCGTCGCTCCCACCGCTCCCACCGCCTCCTCCGCTACCACCTCCGCCGCCACCTCCGCCTCCCCCGCCACCACCAGTACCTCCACTCCCGCCACCACTCCCACCGCCACCCCCACTCCCCCCGCCACCCCCACCGCCTCCTCCACCGCCCCCTCTAGCTCCACCCGCTCCCTTGCCCCCTTTGCCCTTGCCAGAGCGGCGTCTGCCGCTGGGGGCAGACTCCGCGCCGACCGACTCAAAACCATTGAGGTCGGCCGCAGCGGCAGAGGCGACAGAGGGCAGCAGGGGGGAAGGACCACACCCCTCAAAGATGGGGGTGCGAGGGTCACCTCGAGAGGCCCCTACAGCGACAATACTCTTCTCAGCCGCTAGCAGGGACTCCTCAAGGAGGTCGACAGTGAGAGTGGTGGGACAGACAGAGAGAAACTGGTCCCTAACGACACGAAGGGACTCAGGGAGACGGGTGACGAGAAAGTAGAGAGTGATGTACATGGGAGGAGGGTTCGCAGCGCGGAACTCAGCAGGAAGGGCAGCGCGGTAGCGGGTGTCACTAGCACGGAGGTGGGTAACGAGGTCAGCAACAGTGGGAAAGGAGGCGAGGTCAGGGAAGAGAAACGGTAGCATGAGGCGGCTAAGGGTAGCGGAGGAAGGGGAGGAGTAGCGTGCAACTACAGCGTTGTACAAGGCCTGAGCGGTCTTGCACTGACTAAAGTGGGCACGCTCAGAGGAAGGGAGGTGGCGACGCACAGCAAGACGTGCAGCAGCATCGCGGGTCGCCCACTTGGAGCGAACGGCAGAGTCAGCATCAGCAGGTGGGGCAGGGACAGCGCCAGAGACAAAGTCAAAGAGAGAGACTTCATCTATCGCATCACACAGTAAGTACAGCTGCAGGTCTTCAATCCAGACGGCAAAGTCAATGGCCCTCCCCTCAGCGTCAAAAGTAAGAACATTGGGGGTGGCCATGGCAGCAGCTGAAAGTCTCACCGGGCTGGGAGAGTCGGGTAGGTCAGCAGCAGAGGAACACAGCTCAGGAACAGCGGCACGGCTCGGGTTGCTGGGGCGGCGCGGGCGGCTCGGGCGGCTCGGGCGGCTCGGGCGGCTCGGGCGGCTCGGGTTGCCGGGGCGGCGCGGTCGGCTCGGGCGGCTCGGGCGGCTCGGGCGGCTCGGGCGGCTCGGGCGGCTCGGGTTGCTGGGGCGGCGCGGGCGGCTCGGGCGGCTCGGGCTGCTCGGCTGTACGGGCGGCTCGTGCGGCGCTGGTGTCGCGACGGGCGGCTCGCTGGCAGCTCGCGGGCGGCTGCACAGGCGGCTCAGGGACGGCGGCGCGGGCGGCTCAGAGAGCTCACGGGCGGCTGCGACGGGCGGCTCGCGGGCGTCGGGCGCTAGGGCGTTGGGGCGACGACGGGCGGCGCTCAGGCGTTCGGGCGGGCGGCCGTAAGGGCGAAAGGGCGGTCGGCGCTGGGGCGCTAGGGCGGGCGGCCGGCCGTCAGGGCGCTAGGGCGGGCGGCCGTCAGGGCGCTAGGGCGGGCTGCGTGCGGGCGCTAGGGCGGGCGGCCGTCAGGGCGCTAGGGCGAGTGGCGCGCGGGCGCTAGGGCGGGCGGCCGTCAGGGCGCTAGGGCAAGCGGCGCTCGGGCGCTAGGGCGGGCGGCCGTCAGGGCTCTAGGGCGGGCGGCGCTCGGGCGCTAGGGCGGGCGGCGCTCGGGCGCTAGGGCGGGCGTCGCTCGGGCGCTAGGGCGGGCGGCTCTCGGGCGCTGGGGCGGGCGGCCGTCAGGGCGCTAGGGCGGGCGGCCGTCAGGGCGCTAGGGCGGTCGGTGCTCGGGCGCTAGGGCGGGCGGCCGTCAGAGGAGGGAGCGGCGGGAGCGCGACGGTAGGGGCGACACACAGGGTCGCTAAAAAAAAAGAACGCGCGCCTCGGGGCGCGCTTCGGTGGGCCCTAGGAACAGTCCCTAGGAGGGGACCTGCTCTGATTCCATGAGAAGAATTGAACGAGAATGAATGACTATGAAGTGAAGTGAATACAAATAGGAAACCCTAATTGTGTTGTACCCCCTATGGGATACCCCACTATAGCCTACAGAAACAAGTAAGCTATATGTTCTGACAGTAAACGTGGACGTGGACATGGACGTAAACGTGGACGTGGACATGGACATGGACGTGGACGTAAACATGGACGTGGACATGGTCGTGGACGTGGACGTGGACATGGACGTGGACGTGGACAAGGACGTGGACGTGGACGTGGACATGGACGTGGACGTGGACATGGACGTGGACGTGGACATGGACGTGGACGAGGACGTGGACGTGGACGTGGACGTGGAGGTGGACGTGGAGGACGTGGACGTGGACATGGACGTGGACGTGGACATGGACGTGGACGTGGAGATGGACGTGGAGGTGGACATGGACGTGGACGTGGACGTGGACGTGGACGTGGACATTGACGTGGACGTGGAGGACTTGGACGTGGACATGGACGTGGACGTGGACGTAGACATGGACGTGGACGTGGACATGGACATGGACGTGGACATGGACGTGGACGTGGACGTGGACATGGACGTGGAGGTGGACATGGACGTGGACATGGACGTGGACGTGGACGTGGACATGGACGTGGACGTGGACGTGGACGTGAACGTGGACGGGGACGTGGACGTGGACGTGGACGCGGACGTGGACGTGGACGTGGACGTGGACGTGAACGTGGACATGGACGTGGACGTGGACGTGGACGTAGACGTGGACGTGGACGTGGACGTGGACATGGACGTGGACGTAGACGTGGACGTGGACATGGACGCGGACGTGGACGCAGACGTGGACGTGGACGTGGACGTGGACATGGACGTGGACGTGGACGTGGACGTGGAGAGGGACGTAGACGTGGACGTGGACGTGGACGTGGACGTGGAGAGGGACGTAGACGTGGACGTGGACGTGGACGTGGACATGGACGTGGACGTTGATGTGGACGTGGAGGACTTGGACGTGGACATGGACGTGGACGTGGACGTGGACCTGGACGTGGACGTGGACATGGACGTGGACGTGGACATGGACGTGGACGTGGACGTGGACGTGGACATGGACGTGGACGTGGACGTGGAAGTGAACGTGGACGTGGACGTGGACGTGGACGTGGTAATGGACGTGGACGTTGACGTGGATGTGGACGTGGACGTGGACGTGGACATGGACGAGGACGTGGACGTGGACGTGGACATGGACGAGGACGTGGACGTGAACGTGGACGTGGACGTGAACGTGGACGTGGACGTGGACGTGGACGTGGACATGGACGTGGACGTGGACGTGGTCGTGGACGTGGACGTGGACGTGGACGTGGACGTGGACTTGGACGTGGACGTGGACGTGGACGTGGACGTGGACATGGACGTGGACGTGGACGTGGACATGGACGTGGACGTGGACGTGGACGTGGACGTGAACGTGGACGTGGACGTGGACGTGGACGTGGACGTGGACGTGGACGTGGACATGGACGTGGACGTGGACGTGGACGTGAACATGGACGTGGACGTGGACGTGGACCTGAACGTGGACGTGGACGTGGAGGACTTGGACGTGGACATGGACGTGGACGTGGACGTGGACGTGGACATGGACATGGACGTGGACGTGGACATGGACGTGGACGTGGACATGGACATGGACGTGGACGTGGACGTGGACGTGGACGAGGACGTGAACGTGGACGTGGACGTGGACATGGTCGTGGACGTGGACGTGGTCGTGGACGTGGACGTGGACGTGGACGTGGACATGGACGTGGACGTGGACGTGGACGTGGACATGGACGTAGACGTGGACGTGGACGTGGATGTGGACGTGGATATGGACGTGGACATTGACGTGGACGTGGAGGACTTGGACGTGGACATGAACGTGGACGTGGACGTGGACGTGGACATGGACGGGGACGTGGACGTGGACGTGGACGTGGACGTGGACGTGGACGTGAACGTGGACGTGGACGTGGACGTGAACGTGGACATGGACGTGGAAATGGACGTGGACGTGGACATGGACATGGACGTGGACGTGGACGTGGACGTGGACGTGGACATGGACGTGGACGTGGACGTGGACATGGACGTGGACGTGGACGTCAAGGACTTGGACGTGGACGTGGACGTGGACGTGGACATGGACGTGGACGTGGATATGGAAATGGACGTGGACGTGGACTTGGACGTGGACGTGGACGTGGACGTGGAGGACTTGGACGTGGACATGGACGTGGACGTGGATGTGGACGTGGACATGGACGTGGACGTGGACATGGACGTGGACGGGGACATGGACGTGGACGTGGACATGGACATGGACGTGGACGTGGACGTGGACGTGGAAATGGTCGTGGACGTGGACATGGTCGTGGACGTGGACGTGGCATGGACGTGGACGTGGACGTGGACGTGGACGTGGACGTGGACATGGACGTGGACGTGGACATGGACGTAGACGTGGACGTAGACGTGGCAGGGACGTGGACGTGGACGTGGAAGTGAACGTGGACGTGGACGTGGACGTGGTAATGGACGTGGACGTTGACGTGGATGTGGACGTGGACGTGGACGTGGACATGGACGTGGACGTGGACGTGAACGTGGACGTGGACGTGGACGTGGACATGGACGTGGACGTGGACGTGGACGTGGACGTGGACATGGACGTGGACGTGGACGTCGACGTGGACGTGGACATGGACATTGACGTGGACGTGGACGTGGACGTGGACGTGGACGTGGACGTGGACGTGGACGTGGACGTGGACATGGACGTGGACATGTACGTGGACGTGGACATGGACGTGGACGTGGACATGGACGTGGACGTGGACGTGGACGTGGACATGGACGTGGACGTGGACGTGGACGTGAACGTGGACATGGACGTGGACGTGGACGTGGACGTGGACGTGGACGTGGACGTGGACGTGGACGTGGACGTAGACGTGGACGTGGACGTGGACGTGGACGTGGACGTGGACGTGAACGCGGACGTGGACGCGGACGTGGACGCGGACGTGGACGCGGACGTGGACGTGGACGTGGACGTGGACGTGAACGTGGACATGGACGTGGACGTGGACGTGGACGTAGACGTGGACGTGGACGTGGACGTGGACATGGACGTGGACGTAGACGTGGACGTGGACATGGACGCGGACGTGGACGCAGACGTGGACGTGGACGTGGACATGGACGTGGACGTGGACGTGGACGTGGAGAGGGACGTAGACGTGGACGTGGACGTGGACGTGGACGTGGAGAGGGACGTAGACGTGGACGTGGACGTGGACGTGGACATGGACGTGGACGTTGACGTGGACGTGGAGGACTTGGACGTGGACATGGACGTGGACGTGGACGTGGACCTGGACGTGGACGTGGACATGGACGTGGACGTGGACATGGACGTGGACGTGGACGTGGACGTGGACATGGACGTGGACGTGGAAGTGAACGTGGACGTGGACGTGGACGTGGACGTGGTAATGGACGTGGACGTTGACGTGGATGTGGACGTGGACGTGGACGTGGACATGGACGTGGACGTGGACGTGGACGTGGACGTGGACATGGACGAGGACGTGGACGTGAACGTGGACGTGGACATGAACGTGGACGTGGACGTGGACGTGGACGTGGACATGGACGTGGACGTGGACGTGGTCGTGGACGTGGACGTGGACGTGGACGTGGACGTGGACGTGGACGTGGACGTGGACTTGGACATGGACGTGGACGTGGACGTGGACGTGGACATGGACGTGGACGTGGACGTGGACGTGGACATGGACGTGGACGTGGACGTGGACGTGGACGTGGACGTGAACGTGGACGTGGACGTGGACGTGGACGTGGACGTGGACGTGGACATGGACGTGGACGTGGACGTGGACGTGAACATGGACGTGGACGTGGACGTGGACCTGGACGTGGACGTGGACGTGGAGGACTTGGACGTGGACATGGACGTGGACGTGGACGTGGACGTGGACATGGACATGGACGTGGACGTGGACATGGACGTGGACGTGGACATGGACATGGACGTGGACGTGGACGTGGACGTGAACGTGGACGTGGACGTGGACATGGTCGTGGACGTGGACGTGGTCGTGGACGTGGACGTGGACGTGGACGTGGACATGGACGTGGACGTGGACGTGGACGTGGACATGGACGTAGACGTGGACGTGGACGTGGATGTGGACGTGGATATGGACGTGGACATTGACGTGGACGTGGAGGACTTGGACGTGGACATGAACGTGGACGTGGACGTGGACGTGGACATGGACGGGGACGTGGACGTGGACGTGGACGTGGACGTGAACGTGGACGTGGACGTGAACGTGGACATGGACGTGGAAATGGACGTGGACGTGGACATGGACATGGACGTGGACGTGGACGTGGACGTGGACGTGGACATGGACGTGGACGTGGACGTGGACATGGACGTGGACGTGGACGTGAAGGACTTGGACGTGGACGTGGACGTGGACATGGACGTGGACGTGGATATGGAAATGGACGTGGACGTGGACTTGGACGTGGACGTGGACGTGGACGTGGAGGACTTGGACGTGGACATGGACGTGGACGTGGATGTGGACGTGGACATGGACGTGGACGTGGACATGGACGTGGACGGGGACATGGACGTGGACGTGGACATGGACATGGACGTGGACGTGGACGTGGACGTGGAAATGGTCGTGGACGTGGACATGGTCGTGGACGTGGACGTGGCATGGACGTGGACGTGGACGTGGACGTGGACATGGACGTGGACGTGGACGTGGACATGGACGTAGACGTGGACGTAGACGTGGCAGGGACGTGGACGTGGACGTGGAAGTGAACGTGGACGTGGACGTGGACGTGGTAATGGACGTGGACGTTGACGTGGATGTGGACGTGGACGTGGACGTGGACATGGACGTGGACGTGGACGTGAACGTGGACGTGGACGTGGACGTGGACATGGACGTGGACGTGGACGTGGACGTGGACGTAGACGTCGACGTGGACGTGGACATGGTCGTGGACGTGGACATGGACGTGGACGTGGACGTGGACGTGGACGTGGACATGGACGTGGACGTCGACGTGGACGTGGACGTGGACGTGGACGTGGACATGGACGTGGACATGTACGTGGACGTGGACATGGACGTGGACGTGGACATGGACGTGGACGTGGACGTGGACGTGGACATGGACGTGGACGTGGACGTGGACGTGGACGTGGACGTGGACGTGGACGTGGACGTGGACGTGAACGTGGACGTGAACGTGGACGTGGACGCGGACGTGGACGCGGACGTGGACGCGGACGTGGACGTGGACGTGGACGTGGACGTGAACGTGGACATGGACGTGGACGTGGACGTGGACGTAGACGTGGACGTGGAGAGGGACGTAGACGTGGACGTGGACGTGGACGTGGACGTGGACGTGGAGAGGGACGTAGACGTGGACGTGGACGTGGACGTGGACGTGGAGAGGGACGTAGACGTGGACGTGGACGTGGACGTGGACATGGACGTGGACGTTGACGTGGACGTGGAGGACTTGGACGTGGACATGGACGTGGACGTGGACGTGGACCTGGACGTGGACGTGGACATGGACGTGGACGTGGACATGGACGTGGACGTGGACGTGGACGTGGACATGGACGTGGACGTGGACGTGGAAGTGAACGTGGACGTGGACGTGGACGTGGACGTGGTAATGGACGTGGACGTTGACGTGGATGTGGACGTGGACGTGGACGTGGACATGGACGTGGACGTGGACGTGGACATGGACGAGGACGTGGACGTGAACGTGGACGTGGACGTGAACGTGGACGTTGACGTGGACGTGGACGTGGACATGGACGTGGACGTGGACGTGGTCGTGGACGTGGACGTGGACGTGGACGTGGACGTGGACGTGGACTTGGACATGGACGTGGACGTGGACGTGGACGTGGACGTGGACGTGGACATGGACGTGGACGTGGACGTGGACGTGGACATGGACGTGGACGTGGACGTGGACGTGGACGTGAACGTGGACGTGGACGTGGACGTGGACGTGGACGTGGACGTGGACGTGGACATGGACGTGGACGTGGACGTGGACGTGAACATGGACGTGGACGTGGACGTGGACCTGGACGTGGACGTGGACGTGGAGGACTTGGACGTGGACATGGACGTGGACGTGGACGTGGACGTGGACATGGACATGGACGTGGACGTGGACATGGACGTGGACGTGGACATGGACATGGACGTGGACGTGGACGTGGACGTGGACGTGGACGTGAACGTGGACGTGGACGTGGACATGGTCGTGGACGTGGACGTGGTCGTGGACGTGGACGTGGACGTGGACGTGGACATGGACGTGGACGTGGACGTGGACGTGGACATGGACGTAGACGTGGACGTGGACGTGGATGTGGACGTGGATATGGACGTGGACATTGACGTGGACGTGGAGGACTTGGACGTGGACAAGAACGTGGACGTGGACGTGGACGTGGACATGGACGGGGACGTGGACGTGGACGTGGACGTGGACGTGGACGTGGACGTGAACGTGGACGTGGACGTGGACGTGAACGTGGACATGGACGTGGAAATGGACGTGGACGTGGACATGGACATGGACGTGGACGTGGACGTGGACGTGGACATGGACGTGGACGTGGACGTGGACATGGACGTGGACGTGGACGTGAAGGACTTGGACGTGGACGTGGACGTGGACGTGGACATGGACGTGGACGTGGATATGGAAATGGACGTGGACGTGGACTTGGACGTGGACGTGGACGTGGACGTGGACGTGGACATGGACGTGGACATGGACGTGGACGTGGACGTGGACGTGGACATGGACGTGGACGTGGACATGGACGTGGACGGGGACATGGACGTGGACGTGGACATGGACATGGACGTGGACGTGGACGTGGAAATGGTCGTGGACGTGGACATGGTCGTGGACGTGGACGTGGCATGGACGTGGACGTGGACGTGGACGTGGACGTGGACGTGGACATGGACGTGGACGTGGACGTGGACATGGACGTAGACGTGGACGTAGACGTGGCAGGGACGTGGACGTGGACGTGGAAGTGAACGTGGACGTGGACGTGGACGTGGTAATGGACGTGGACGTTGACGTGGATGTGGACGTGGACGTGGACGTGGACATGGACGTGGACGTGGACGTGAACGTGGACGTGGACGTGGACGTGGACATGGACGTGGACGTGGACGTGGACGTGGACGTGGACATGGACGTGGACGTGGACGTCGACGTGGACGTGGACATGGTCGTGGACGTGGACATGGACGTGGACGTGGACGTGGACGTGGACATGGACGTGGACGTGGACGTGGACGTGGACGTGGACGTGGACATGGACGTGGACATGTACGTGGACGTGGACATGGACGTGGACGTGGACATGGACGTGGACGTGGACGTGGACGTGGACATGGACGTGGACGTGGACGTGGACGTGAACGTGGACATGGACGTGGACGTGGACGTGGACGTGGACGTGGACGTAGACGTGGACGTGGACGTGGACGTGGACGTGGACGTGGACGTGAACGTGGACGTGGACGTGGACGTGGACGTGGACATGGACGTGGACATGGACGTGGACATAGACGTGGACGTGGACGTGGACATGGACATGGACGTGGACGTGGACATGGACGTGGACGTGGACGTGGACGTGGACGTGTACGTGAACGTGGACGTGGAAGTGGACATGGACGTGGACGTGGACGTGGACATGGACGTGGACGTGGACGTGGACGTGGAGGACTTGGATGTGGACATGGACGTGGACGTGGATGTGGACGTGGACATGGACATAGACGTGGACGTGGACATGGACGTGGACGTGGACATGGACGTGGACGTGGACGTGGACGTGGACGTGAACGTGGACGTGGACGTGGACGTGGACGTGGACATGGTCGTGGACGTGGACGTGGTCGTGGACGTGGACGTGGACGTGGACGTGGACGTGGACATGGACGTGGACGTGGACGTGGACATGGACGTGGACGTGGACGTGGACGTGGACGTGGACGTGGACATGGACGTGGACATTGACGTGGACGTGGAGGACTTGGACGTGGACATGAACGTGGACGTGGACGTGGACATGGAAGTGGACGTGGACATGGACGTGAACATAGACGTGGACGTGGACGTAGACGTGGACGTGGACGTGGACGTGGACGTGAACGTGGACGTGGACGTGGACGTGGACATGGACGAGGACATAGACGTGGACGTGGACGTGGACACGGACGTGGACGTGGACATGGACGTGGACGTGGACGTGGACGTGTACGTGAACGTGGACGTTGACGTGGACATGGACGTGGACGTGGACGCGGACGTGGACATGGACGTGGACGTGGACGTGGACGTGGACGTGGAGGACTTGGACGTGGACATGGACGTGGACGTGGACGTGGATGTGGACATGGACATGGACGTGGACGTGGACATGGACGTGGACGTGGACATGGACGTGGACGTGGACGTGGACGTGGACGTGAACGTGGACGTGGACGTGGACGTGGACATGGTCGTGGACATGGACGTGGTCGTGGACGTGGACGTGGACGTGGACGTGGACGTGGACATGGACGTGGACGTGGACGTGGACGTGGACATGGACGTAGACGTGGACGTCGACGTGGACGTGGACGTGGACGTGGACGTGGACATGGACGTGGACATTGACGTGGACGTGGAGGACTTGGACGTGGACATGAACGTGGACGTGGACGTGGACGTGGACATGGAAGTGGACGTGGACATGGACGTGGACGTGGACATGGACGTGGACGTGGACGTGGACGTGGACATGGACGTGGACGTGGACGTGGACGTGAACGTGGACGTGGACGTGGACATGGACGTGGACGTGGACGTGGACGTGGACGTGGACATGGACGTGGACGTGGACATGGACGTGGACGTGGACGTCGACGTGGACGTGGACCTGGTCGTGGACGTGGACGTGGACGTGGACCTGGACGTGGACGTGGACGTGGACGTGGACATGGACGTGGACGTGGACGTGGACGTGGACGTGGACATGGACGTGGACGTGGATGTGGACGTGGACGTGGACGTGGACGTGGACGTGGACGTGAACGTGGACGTGGACGTGGACGTGGACGTGGACATGGACGTGGACGTGGACGTGGACGTGGACATGGACGTGGACGTGGACGTGGACGTGGACGTCGACATGGACATGGACTGGACGTGGACGTGGACGTGGACGTGAAGGACTTGGACGTGGACGTGGACGTGGACATGGACGTGGACGTGGATATGGACATGGACGTGGACGTGGACTTGGACGTGGATGTGGACGTGGACGTGGACGTGGACGTGGACGTGGGCATGGACGTGGACGTGGACGTGGACGTGGAAATGGACGTGGACGTGGACGTGGACGTGGAAATGGTCGTGGACATGGACATGGTCGTGGACGTCGACGTGGTATGGACGTGGACGTGGACGTGGACGTGGACATGGACGTGGACGTGGACGTGAACGTGGACGTGGACATGGACGTAGACGTGGACGTAGACGTGGCAGGGACGTGGACTTGGACGTGGACGTGGACGTCGACGTGGACGTGAACGTGGACGTCGACGTGGACGTGGACGTGGACGTGGTCGTGGACGTGGACATTGACGTGGACGTGGACGTGGATGTGGACGTGGACGTGAACATGGACGTCGACGTGGACGTGGACGTGGACATGGTCGTGGACGTGGACGTGGACGTGGACGTGGACATGGACGTGGATGTGGACGTGGACATGGACGTGGACGTGGACGTGGAGGACTTGGACGTGGACATGGACATGGACGTGGACGTGGACGTGGACGTGAACGTGGACATCGACGTGGACGTGGACATGGACGTGGACATGGACATGGACGTGGACGTGGACGTGGACATGGACGTGGACATGGACATGGACGTGGACGTGGACGTGGACGTGGATGTGGACGTGGACATGGTCCTGGAAGTGGACGTGGACATGGACGTGGACATGGACGTGGACGTGGACATGGACGTGGACGTGAACGTGGAGGACTTGGACGTCGACATGGACGTGGACGTGGACCTGGACATGGACATGGACGTGGACGTGGACGTGGACATGGACGTGGACGTGGACGTGGACGTGGACGTGGACGTGGACGTGGACATAGACGTGGACATGGACGTGGACGTGGACATGGACGTGGACGTGGACATGGACGTGGACGTAGACGTGGACGTGGACGTGGACGTGAACGTGGACATGGACGTGGACGTGGACGTGGACGTGGACGTGGACGTAGACGTGGACGTAGACGTGGACATGGACGTGGACGTGGACGTGGACGTGGACGTGAACGTGGACGTGGACGTGGACGTGGACGTGGACGTGGACGTGGACATAGACGTGGACGTGGACGTGGACGTGGACATGGACGTGGACGTGGACGTGGACGTGGACTTGGACGTGTACGTGAACGTGGACGTGGACATGGACATGGACGTGGACGTGGACGTGGACGTGGACGTGGACATGGACGTGGACGTGGACGTGGAGGACTTGGACGTGGACATGGACGTGGACGTGGACGTGGACGTGGACATGGACATGGACGTGGACGTGGAGATGGACGTGGACGTGGACATGGACGTGGACGTGGACGTGGACGTGGACGTGGACGTGAACGTGAACGTGGACGTGGACGTGGACGTGGACGTGGACATGGTCGTGGACGTGGACGTGGTCGTGGACGTGGACGTGGACGTGGACATGGACGTGGACGTGGACGTGGACGTGGACGTGGACATGGACGTAGACGTGGACGTGGACGTGGACGTGGACGTGGACATAGACGTGGATATTGACCTGGACGTGGAGGACTTGGACGTGGACATGAACGTGGACGTGGACGTGGACATGGACGTGGACGTGGACATGGACGTGGACGTGGACATGGACGTGGACGTGGACGTGGACGTGGACGTGGACATGGACGTGGACGTGGACGTGGACGTGAACGTGGACGTGGACGTGGACATGGACGTGGACGTGGACGTGAACGTGGACGTGGTCGTGGACGTGGACATGGACGTGGACGTGGACGTGGACGTGGACATGGACGTGGACGTGGACATGGAGGTGGACGTGGACGTCGACGTGGACGTGGACGTGGACATGGAGGTGGACGTGGACGTGGACGTGGACGTGGACGTGGACGTGGACATGGACGTGGACATGGACGTGGACGTGGACGTGGACGTGGACATGGACGTGGACGTGGACGTGGACGTGGACGTGGACATGGACGTGGACGTGGACGTGGACGTGGACATCGACGTGGACGTGGACATGGACGTGGACGTGGACATCGACGTGGACGTGGACGTGGACGTGGACGTGGACATGGACGTGGACGTGGACGTGAACGTGGACGTGGACCTGGACGTGGATGTGGACGTGGACGTGGACATGGACGTGGACGTGGACGTGGACGTGGACGTGAACGTGGACATGGACGTGGACGTGGACGTGGACGAGAACGTGGACATGGACGTGGACGTGGACGTGGACGTGGACGTGGACATGGACGTGGACGTGGACGTGGACGTGGACATGGACGTGGACGTGGACGTGGACGTGAAGGACTTGGACGTGGACGTGGACGTGGACGTGGACATGGACGTGGACGTGGATATGGACATGGACGTGGACGTGGACATGGATGTGGACGTGGACGTGGACGTGGACATGGACGTGGACATGGACGTGGACGTGGACGTGGACGTGGACGTGGACATGGACGTGGACGTGGACGTGGACATGGTCGTGGACGTGGACGTGGTCGTGGACGTGGACAAGGACGTGGACGTGGACGTGGACATGGACGTGGACGTGGACGTGGACGTGGACATGGACGTAGACGTGGACGTGGACGTGGACGTGGACGTGGACGTGGACATGGACGTGGACATTGACGTGGACGTGGAGGACTTGGACGTGGACATGAACGTGGACGTGGACGTGGACATGGAAGTGGACGTGGACATGGACGTGAACATGGACGTGGACGTGGACGTAGACGTGGACGTGGACGTGGACGTGGACGTGGACGTAAACGTGGACGTGGACGTGGACGTGGACGTGGACATGGACGTGGACATAGACGTGGACGTGGACGTGGACGTGGACACGGACGTGGACGTGGACATGGACGTGGACGTGGACGTGGACGTGTACGTGAACGTGGACGTGGACGTGGACATGGACGTGGACGTGGACGTGGACGTGGACATGGACGTGGACGTGGACGTGGACGTGGACGTGGACATGGACATGGACATGGACGTGGACGTGGACATGGACGTGGACGTGGACATGGACGTGGACGTGGACGTGGACGTGGACATGGACATGGACGTGGACGTGGACATGGACGTGGACGTGGACGTGGACGTGGACGTGGACATAGACATGGACGTGGACGTGGACATGGACGTGGACGTGGACGTGGACGTGGACTTGGACATGGACATGGACGTGGACGTGGACATGGACGTGGACGTGGACATGGACGTGGACGTGGACGTGGACGTGGACGTGAACGTGGACGTGGACGTGGACGTGGACATGGTCGTGGACGTGGACGTGGTCGTGGACGTGGACGTGGACGTGGACGTGGACATGGACGTGGACGTGGACGTGGACGTGGACATGGACGTAGACGTGGACGTGGACGTGGACGTGGACGTGGACATGGACGTGGACATTGACGTGGACGTGGAGGACTTGGACGTGGACATGAACGTGGACGTGGACGTGGACATGGAAGTGGACGTGGACATGGACGTGGACGTGGACATGGACATGGACGTGGACGTGGACATGGACGTGGACGTGGACGTGAACGTGGAGTGGACGTGGACGTGGACATGGACGTGGACGTGGACGTGAACGTGGACGTGGACGTGGACGTGGACATGGACGTGGACGTGGACGTGGACGTGGACATGGACTAGGACGTGGACATGGACGTGGACGTGGACGTCGACGTGGACGTGGACCTGGTCGTGGACGTGGACGTGGACGTGGACCTGGACCTGGACGTGGACGTGGACGTGGACGTGGACATGGACGTGGACATGGACGTGGACGTGGACGTGGACGTGGACATGGACGTGGACGTGGACGTGGATGTGGACGTGGACGTGGACATGGACGTGGACGTGGACGTGGACGTGGACGTGGACGTGAACGTGGACGTGGACGTGGACGTGGCCATGGACGTGGTCGTGGACGTGGACGTGGACATGGACGTGGACGTGGACGTGGACGTGGACGTGGACGTCGACATGGACATGGACGTGGACGTGGACGTGGATGTGGACATGGACGTGGACGTGAAGGACTTGGACGTGGACGTGGACGTGGACGTGGACATGGACGTGGACGTGGATATGGACATGGACGTGGACGTGGACTTGGACGTGGATGTGGACGTGGACGTGGACGTGGACGTGGACGTGGACATGGACGTGGACGTGGACGTGGACGTGGAAATGGACGTGGACGTGGACGTGGACGTGGAAATGGTCGTGGACGTGGACATGGTCGTGGACGTGGACGTGGTATGGACGTGGACGTGGACGTGGACGTGGACATGGACGTGGACGTGGACGTGGACGTGGACGTGGACATGGACGTAGACGTGGACGTAGACGTGGCAGGGACGTGGACTTGGACGTGGACGTGGACGTGGACGTGGACGTGAACGTGGACGTCGACGTAGACGTGGACGTGGACGTGGTCGTGGACGTGGACATGGACGTGGACGTGGACGTGGATGTGGACGTAGACGTGAACGTGGACGTCGACGTGGACGTGGACGTGGACATGGTCGTGGACGTGGACGTGGACGTGGACGTGGACGTGGACATGGACGTGGATGTGGACGTGGACATGGACGTGGATGTGGACGTGGAGGACTTGGACGTGGACATGGACATGGACATGGACGAGGACGTGGACGTGGACGTGGACGTGAACGTGGACATCGACGTGGACGTGGACATGGACGTGGACATGGACATGGACGTGGACGTGGACGTGGACATGGACGTGGACATGGACATGGACGTGGACGTGGAGGTGGACGTGGATGTGGACGTGGACATGGTCCTGGAAGTGGACGTGGACATGGACGTGGACATGGACGTGGACGTGGACATGGACGTGGGCGTGAACGTGGAGGACTTGGACGTCGACATGGACGTGGACGTGGACCTGGACATGGACGTGGACGTGGACGTGGAGGTGGACGTGGACATGGACGTGGACGTGGACGTGGACGTGGACGTGGACATGGACGTGGACATGGACGTGGACGTGGACTTGGACGTGGACGTGGACATGGACGTGGACGTGGACGTGGACGTGGACGTGGACGTGGACGTGGACGTGGACGTGAACGTGGACGTGGACGTGGACGTGGACGTGGACGTGGATATAGACGTGGACGTGGACGTGGACGTGGACATGGACGTGGACGTGGACGTCGACGTGGACGTGGACGTGTACGTCGACGTGGACGTGGACGTGTACGTGAACGTGGACGTGGACATGGACATGGACGTGGACGTGGACGTGGACGTGGACATGGACGTGGACGTGGATGTGGACGTGGAGGACTTAGACGTGGACATGGACGTGGACGTGGACGTGGACGTGGACATGGACATGGACGTGGACGTGGACATGGACGTGGACGTGGACATGGACGTGGACGTGGACGTGGACGTGGACGTGAACGTGGACGTGGACGTGGACGTGGACATGGTCGTGGACGTGGACGTGGTCGTGGACGTGGACGTGGACGTGGACGTGAACATGGACGTGGACGTGGACGTTGACGTGGACGTGGACATGGACGTAGACGTGGACGTGGACGTGGACGTGGACGTGGACATAGACGTGGATATTGACGTGGACGTGGAGGACTTGGACGTGGACATGAACGTGGACGTGGACGTGGACATGGACGTGGACGTGGACATGGACGTGGACGTGGACATGGACGTGGACGTGGACGTGGACGTGGACGTGGACATGGACGTGGACGTGGACGTGGACGTGAACGTGGACGTGGACGTGGACATGGACGTGGACGTGGACGTGGACGTGGACGTGGACGTGGACGTGGACATGGACGTGGACGTGGACGTGAACGTGGACATGGACGTGGACGTGGACGTGGACGAGAACGTGGACATGGACGTGGACGTGGACGTGGACGTGGACATGGACGTGGACGTGGACGTGGACGTGGACATGGACGTGGACGTGGACGTGGACGTGAAGGACTTGGACGTGGACGTGGACGTGGACGTGGACATGGACGTGGACGTGGATATGGACATGGATGTGGACGTGGACATGGATGTGGACGTGGACGTGGACGTGGACATGGACGTGGACATGGACGTGGACGTGGACGTGGACGTGGACGTGGACGTGGACATGGACGTGGACGTGGACGTGGACGTGGACGTGGACATGGTCGTGGACGTGGACGTGGTCGTGGACGTGGACAAGGACGTGGACGTGGACGTGGACATGGACGTGGACGTGGACGTGGACGTGGACATGGACGTAGACGTGGACGTGGACGTGGACGTGGACGTGGACGTGGACATGGACGTGGACATTGACGTGGACGTGGAGGACTTGGACGTGGACATGAACGTGGACGTGGACGTGGACATGGAAGTGGACGTGGACATGGACGTGAACATGGACGTGGACGTGGACGTAGACGTGGACGTGGACGTGGACGTGGACGTGGACGTGGACGTGAACGTGGACGTGGACGTGGACGTGGACGTGGACATGGACGTGGACATAGACGTGGACGTGGACGTGGACGTGGACACGGACGTGGACGTGGACATGGACGTGGACGTGGACGTGGACGTGTACGTGAACGTGGACGTGGACGTGGACATGGACGTGGACGTGGACGTGGACCGTGGACATGGACGTGGACGTGGACGTGGACGTGGACGTGGAGGACTTGGACGTGGACATGGACGTGGACGTGGACGTGGACGTGGACATGGACATGGACGTGGACGTGGACATGGACGTGGACGTGGACATGGACGTGGACGTGGACGTGGACGTGGACGTGAACGTGGACGTGGACGTGGACGTGGACATGGTCGTGGACGTGGACGTGGTCGTGGACGTGGACGTGGACGTGGACGTGGACATGGACGTGGACGTGGACGTGGACGTGGACATGGACGTAGACGTGGACCGTGGACGTGGACGTGGACGTGGACGTGGACATGGACGTGGACGTGGAGGACTTGGACGTGGACATGAACGTGGACGTGGACGTGGACATGGAAGTGGACGTGGACATGGACGGGACGTGGACGTGGACGTGGACATGGACGTGGACGTGGACGTGAACGTGGAGTGGACGTGGACGTGGACATGGAGGTGGACGTGGACGTGAACGTGGACGTGGACGTGGACGTGGACGTGGACATGGACGTGGACATGACGTGGACGTGGACGTGGACGTGGACACGGACGTGGACGTGGACATGGACGTGGACGTGGACGTGGACGTGTACGTGAACGTGGACGTGGACGTGGACATGGACGTGGACGTGGACGTGGACGTGGACATGGACGTGGACGTGGACGTGGACGTGGACGTGGAGGACTTGGACGTGGACATGGACGTGGACGTGGACGTGGACGTGGACATGGACATGGACGTGGACGTGGACATGGACGTGGACGTGGACATGGACGTGGACGTGGACGTGGACGTGGACGTGAACGTGGACGTGGACGTGGACGTGGACATGGTCGTGGACGTGGACGTGGTCGTGGACGTGGACGTGGACGTGGACGTGGACATGGACGTGGACGTGGACGTGGACGTGGACATGGACGTAGACGTGGACGTGGACGTGGACGTGGACGTGGACGTGGACATGGACGTGGACGTGGAGGACTTGGACGTGGACATGAACGTGGACGTGGACGTGGACATGGAAGTGGACGTGGACATGGACGTGGACGTGGACATGGACGTGGACGTGGACGTGGACATGGACGTGGACGTGGACGTGAACGTGGAGTGGACGTGGACGTGGACATGGACGTGGACGTGGACATGGACGTGGACGTGGACGTGGACATGGACGTGGACCTGGACGTGGACGTGGACATGGACGTGGACGTGGACATGGACGTGGACGTGGACGTCGACGTGGACGTGGACCTGGTCGTGGACGTGGACGTGGACGTGGACCTGGACGTGGACGTGGACGTGGACGTGGACATGGACGTGGACATGGACGTGGACGTGGACGTGGATGTGGACGTGGACATGGACGTGGACGTGGACGTGGATGTGGACGTGGACGTGGACATGGACGTGGACGTGGACGTGGACGTGGACGTGGACGTGAACGTGGACGTGGACGTGGACGTGGACATGGACGTGGTCGTGGACGTGGACGTGGACATGGACGTGGACGTGGACGTGGACGTGGACGTCGACATGGACATGGACGTGGACGTGGACGTGGATGTAGACGTGGACGTGGACGTGAAGGACTTGGACGTGGACGGGACGTGGACGTGGACATGGACGTGGACGTGGATATGGACATGGACGTGGACGTGGACTTGGACGTGGATGTGGACGTGGACGTGGACGTGGACATGGACGTGGACGTGGACGTGGACGTGGAAATGGACGTGGACGTGGACGTGGATTTGGAAATGGTCGTGGACGTGGACATGGTCGTGGACGTGGACGTGGTATGGACGTGGACGTGGACGTGGACGTGGACGTGGACGTGGACGTGGACGTGGACGTGGACATGGACGTGGACATGGACGTGGACGTGGACGGACCATGGACGGTGGACTATGACGGGACGTGGACATGGACGTGGACGTGGTGGGACGTGGACGTGGACGTGGACGTGGACGTGAACGTGGACATAGACGTGGACGTGGACGTTGGACGTGGACGTGGACGTGGACATGGACGTGGACGTGGACGTGGACGTGAACGTGGACGTGGACGTGGACGTGGACGTGGACATAGACGTGGACGTGGACGTGGACGTGGACATGGACGGGACGTGGACGTCGACGTGGACGTGTGACGTGTACCTGTGAACGTGGACCGTGGACATGGACATGGACGTGGACGTGGACGTGGACGTGGACATGGACGTGGCACCGTGGACGTGGACGTGGAGGACTTAGACGTGGACATGGACGTGGACGTGGACGTGGACGTGGACATGGACATGGACGTGGACGTGGACATGGACGTGGACGTGCGACATGGACGTGGACCGTGGACGTGGACGTGGACGTGGACGTGAACGTGGACGTGGACGTGGACGTGGACATGGTCGTGGACGTGGACGTGGTCGTGGACGTGGACGTGGACGTGGACGTGAACATGGACGTGGACGTGGACGTTGACGTGACGTGGACATAGACGTAGACGTGGACGTGGACGTGGACGTGGACGTGGACATAGACGTGGATATTGACGTGGACGTGGAGGACTTGGACGTGGACATGAACGTGGACGTGACGTGGACATGGACGTGGACGTGGACACATGGACGTGGACGTGGACATGGACGTGGACGTGGACGTGGTTGTGGACGTGGACATGGACGTGGACGTGGACGTGGACGTGAACGTGGACGTGGACGTGGACGTGGACATGGACGTGGACTGGACGTGAACGTGGACGTGGACGTGGACGTTGACATGGACGTGGACGTGGACGTGGACATGGACGTGGACGTGGACATGGAGTGGACGTGGACGTCGACGTGGACGTGGACGTGACATGGTCGTGGACGTGGACGTGGACGTGGACGTGGACGTGGACGTGGACGTGGACATGGACGTGGACATGGACGTGGACGTGACGTGGACGTGGACGTGGACATGGACGTGGACGTGGACGTGGACGTGGACGTGGACATGGACGTGGACGTGGACGTGGACGTGGACATCGACGTGAACGTGGACATGGACGTGGACGTGGACGTGGACGTGGACGTGGACGTGAACGTGGACGTGGACGTGAACGTGAACGTGGACATGGACGTGGACGTGGACATGGACGTGGACTTGGACATGGACGTGGACATGGACGTGGACGTGGACGTGGACGTGGACATGGACGTGGACGTGGACGTGGACGTGAAGGACATGGATGTGGACGTGGACGTGGACGTGAAGGACTTGGACGTGGACGTGGACGTGGACGTGGACGTGGACGTGGACGTGGACGTGGACATGGACGTGGACGTGGACATGGATGTGGACGTGGACGTGGACGTGGACATGGACGTGGACATGGACGTGGACGTGGACGTGGACGTGGACATGGAC